AGACAGTAGGACAGGGACATTAGGCATGCTGGTGCGCTTATGCACGTCCCAAGGAATGGAGCGAGGTCACCAGTGGACAGTCTTAGGTTAAAACTATGAAGGTTTGAGGATGTAACAAAGGAATGGGGTAGAGCATTCCAGGTATTGACCACTCTGTTGCTGAAGCCATATTTTCTGAAATCAAGTTTGGAGTGGTTTACCTTGAGTTTGTATCTATTGTTTGCTTGTGTATTATTGTGGTTGAAGCTGAAGTAGTCATTGGCAGGCAGGACGTTGTAGCAGATAATTTTGTGTACTAGGCTTAGGTCAGACCTAAGGTGGCGTAGTTCTAGGTTTTCCAAGCCTAAAATTGCAAGCCTACAATCTCTCAATTGTATTAATATCCGATATGCAGTATGAATTCCAGGCAGACGAGCTGTATTCGAGATTAGGTCTAGCAAAGGTTTTGTATGCCCTAGTTAGCAGTACAATATTACTGGAGAAGAAGCTTCGCAAGATTAGGTTGACAACTCTTAATGCCTTTTTGGCAATGTTGTTACAGTGAGTTCTGCTACTTAGACCAGTTGAGATGAGTACTCCTAGGTCTTCGACAGAGTGAGAGTCGTCTACGAGGTCATATCTGCCCAGCTTGTATTTGGTGTTTTGATTTTTTTTGCCAATGTGTAAGACAGAGCATTTGTTGGTTGAGATTTGGAGTTGCCAATTGTTTGACCATTCTGACACATAGTCAAGGTCGCTTTGTAGGGCAACAGAATTGTCGGTGGTGTTAAATAGTTTTATATCATCAGTGAAGAGAACACAGCTGCTTATAATATAATCACAAAGGTCATTTATGTAAAGAATAAAGAGTGGGGGTCCTAAAACTCTACCTTGGGGGACTCCACTGTTAACTGGTGCAGGGTTTGATAAGGCATTCTCTATTTTGACTATATGGGGTCAATCTATTTTTTTAAGAAGCTATTTGCTCCCTATTGTGTTTTATTTTGATATAGTCTTCTTGTTTAGGTAGGGATTTCTCACTTTGTTCATTGAGTTTCTGAGGGGCTAGAGTTACCTTTGGATTCTTTACTTCTAGTAATTCTTCTAGTAATTCAAGTAGTTTACATTTGATATATACATAGTTGGTGTCTTCTGTGAGCATAAGCTGAAACATATGACACACTTTGAAAGTCATTATAGTGTCAGTCTCTATTTCCATGACTTTTTCTCTTTGTTTGATAAAAAAATCAAATTCTAAAAATTAAATATTTACCTGTTGCAAAGTGTCAGTTTACAATAGTATATGAAAGCTCTGACCTTTTGTTTTTTGTCTTGAAAAATTCACAACTATCTTCCCCATTTTAAGTCTCTTTTTCTGTGGGTTTTATTTTTTTCCTCTCAGATCATTAAGAATTTAAAATTTTTCTAAAGAATTAAAATAACTATTTTTTTCAAATGTTTAATTGAGAAATTTAAAAATTNCTCATAAGTGGGAGGAGATAGGTAATAGGAAGGATGAGAAGAATAATAGTAATATAGTCTTAGTAAATAGTTTGACAGTGTTGTGGGAATTAATTGTTTAGCAGAGTGATGGCATTCAGGAAAAAACGGTCCTTGTATCTAGTTGTTCTGGTGTGCAGTACCCTATAGTGTCGTTTTGAGAGTAGAAGTTGAAACAATTTATGTCCAGGATGTGAGGGGTCTGTAGATAAGGGCCAATGACTTATATTCATCAAGGTAGGACAAGTGTTCTCTTACCATTTTCTTGCTTATTTTAATTTTTACTCTGTCTTTTACAGTTATGTTTTTGGTAGGTTGGGCTATAGTTTCTTTTTGTGTGAAGCAAAGCAATTCTTTGTCTGATGCAAATAATGAGTTAAGCACCTGTGCTTTCTCTCTACTCTCTGTTACTTCCTTGTCATCTTCTCTGTTTAGTGGACCGTTTCCTTACTTTTTTCTTGTTATTATACAGTATGTTGAAAGAAACTTTTAAAAAAAATTATCTTTGACTTTTGTTGCAAGTCTTTGTTCATTCTGAAGCTTTGCTTTCCTGACTTCATTTTTGCAGATTTGGGCTATCTGTTGATATTTTGCTTTATGCATCCCTCTTTCCATTTTTAGTACTTATCCTTTTCATCTTTCAGTTTATCAGAGAGATCTTTGTGCAACCATGCTGGTTTCTTCTTGGATTTCTTATTTTTCTTTTTCAGTGGTATTGTGTTGGCCTGGGCTTTTATGATCATATTTTTCAGTATTTCTCATACTTCTTGAGTTGTTTTTCCTTTAGGATTTTTATTCATGAAATGTTGCTTAGGGTCTCACTGAGTTTGTTAAAATCAGCTCTTTTAAAGTTTAAGACACTGGTTGGAGTATATTCTATTGCTTGTGTTTCCATTATATTGTCCAGTATGATGTGGTCCCTTTCACCCAAAGTTCTGGCAATTTTAATTCCCTCTATCACTTCTTCTCTATTAATAAGAATCAGGTCCAGTATAGTTTTTCTTCTAGCTCTGCCCCCTCTACCATTTGGATTACAAAGTTATCAGTTAAGTTGGTTAGGAATCTTTTCAATCTCCCACTTGCTGCAGAGTTTGTCTCCCAGTTGATATCAGAGTAATCAAAGTCTTCCATTACTACTGTGGTATGTTTCCTACATACATTTGTTAATTGATCTATTTCTTCAGCTTGGTTAAGTGGCCTGTATTATATGCCTATAGCAATGTCATTTTTTGTTTTTGTTTTATATTGATCCATATGGTCATCCTTGGTTTTGTGTATTTCTGTAAAGATATAGTGTTTTTTTATGTACAATATCCTTCAGTACCTTCCAGTCATGGGTTTCATCCCACCAAGTTTCAGTAATGGCAACTATATCATATCTATCTAATATTTCAAGTTCATCCTATTTCTTCCATAAACTTTGAGAATTAGTATATAGGCATTTGAGTCCTTTATTTATCTTGAGAATGCTTCTTATATCTCCCACTTTGTAACTGGGATTTACATCCTTTCCATCCTCTTTATTTCATTATGTTTTTCTTTTTTTAGGTACATATGTAGGGTAATTTTTTATGGAGGCTGTTAGTTCCCTACTGTGTTTGATTTGGGTGTATAACTCTACAGGAAAGAAGAATGGAATATATATTGCATAAGTCCAATTTCCACATATTGAGGTAATCTCTATACATGCTGAAATTCCCTCTTGTTGCCACTAATGTATATTCTATTCATGAGTTTCATACCCACCATGTTTCAGTAACGACAACTATATTATATCTGCCTTCATGTACTAATACTTCAAGTTCACCCTGTTTGTTCCCTAAACTTTGAGCATTAGTGTATCGGCATTTGAATCCTTTATTTGTCTTGGGTAAGTTTCTTATACCTTCTACTTCATAACTAGAATTTCCATCATTTCCATCACTCTCTACTTCATAATGCTTTTCTTTTTTAATTTCTTTTTTCTCTTTACTTCCTTCCTTACTATAAGAAAGGGAGTAAACCCATGGTGGGGTTGATTATTTTACTAAGGTATTCAGTTACATCTTTGATTTTTGCTCCAGGGAGACAATATACCTCCCTAGATTGGCTGCCTGGTCTGCAGACTATAGTTTCTGTTTCCCTAATAATTCAAACTCTTAAAGCAATATTAGTCTTTTTTTCGTAGGGAAGTCTATTCTACTGTTCTTCCTGTCACAGGAATGCTAGGTTGTGTCTCTTTTTTAGAACCTAGTGATGAATGCTGTTTATGGGTATCTGCATATTTCCTTCCAGGTGAAGTTACAAAAGCAATTGTTCAGTTCAGCTTCATTGGAGTGGACTAGGGTAGATAGTAGGGGCTTTACTCTTGGTTGTTGTTTTCTTCTAAAAATGACTTGTTTCTAATGGTCTTGCTCTTTAGGTACATTTTTACAGAAGCTGTTTGTTTCCTATTGTGTTCAATTTGGATGTATCAGTTTTCTTCTTTATGTTCATATACTCATTTTTTATTTATTTTAGTTTGTCAAACATGTAAAAGATAACAGGTATAAAGTAAGTATAAACATAAATATGAACACAGTAAATGGGTATGAATAAATGGAGACAGTAGGACAGGGACGGTAGGCACGCTGGTGAGCTTAGGCATGCCCTTTACATACCTCTTAGGAATGGGGTGAGTTCAACAGTAGACACTCTTAGGTTAAAATTATAGGGGTTTGTAACAACAAAGTCAGGTAGTGCATTCCAGGCATTGACCACTCTGTTGCTGAAGTCGTATTTTCTGCAATCAAGTTTGGAGCAGTTTACCTTGAGTTTGTATCTATTGTTTGCTGGTGTATTATTGAAGCTGAAGTAGTCATAGACAGGTAGGACGTTGTAGCGGATAATTTTGTGCACTGCGCTTAGGTCAGACTATAGGTGGCGTAGTTCTGGATTTTCCAAGCCCAAAATTTCAAGCCTGGTGGCATAGGGTATTCTGTTGTGAGTAGAGGACTGGAGTACTTTTCTCATGAAATACTTCTGGATTCTCTCAATTGTATTAATATCAGATATACAGTACGGATTCCAGGCAGACAAGCTGTATTCAAGAATTGGTCCAGCAAAGGTTTTGTATGCCCTAGTTAGCAGTACAATATTACTGGAGAAGAAGCTTCGCAAGATTAGGTTGACAACTCTTAATGC